ACTAAGGTTAGGAGAGCATAAAATGTTTGAGGTCGGATTGGTGCAAAACGATGTTGTTTTTGGATAGAAGGAGAGGTTGCCGATTACGCACCAAAACGGTGCATTTCAGAGGAGGTTCAGTGGGCATTCGAGAGGTAGACCGGCTAGGGTAGGCTGATTGTGTTGGGTTATTGTTAGCTCATTTAAGGTATACATTTTACTTTTTCTAATGTTGAATTTATGATGTTGTGCTTGACCCATTGTTTAGATTAGAGGAAAATTAGTTTTTTGATTAATTAGAATAAAAGATAGAATATATAAAATTTATTAGATGATAAAGGAAAATATATAAATTGAGAAAGAAAAAAAATATAAAAATAGATAAGGATGAAAATAAAATGTTTAACAATATATATGTAAAAGAAATGGAGATTAGGTAAGAATATAAAAATAAATATATATAATTATGTCCTAAATAATAGCAAAATTAGGTAGAGAGGGTTATTTAGTTATAAAAATAGATCCAAGAATAAAAAATATACATAGGAAATAAATGAACATATAATAAATAGATTTAGGTGGATATTGAATATAAAAAATAATAAGGAGGCATTTTAAAAAATAACCCTTAAAGATAAGATGTTTTCAAAAATAGTATCTTTTATAATTTTAACTATTTTTAACCAAGTTGGATAAAATTACCTTGAATGAAATTACACGCTATGATGTTACACACCATGTACAAAAATATGTTACATGTCATGGTTAGGTTGTTACATGCTATATACAAAAATATGTGACACGCTATGGTTAGGTTATTACACGGTATGTATAAAAACATGTTACACGCCATGGTTAGGTTGTTACATGTTATGTTAAAAAAAAATACTGTTGTTACACGCCATGAATAAAAACATATTACATGCCATGGTTAAAAAAGGTTGTTACAGGCCATGTTAAAAAAAATGGTTATTACATGTCATGTTAAAAAAATATTATTGTTACACGCCATATTCAAAAACATTTTGTTACGCTTTAATGCCTAAGCTGTTATTGTTACTTACAAACTAAAACTTTAAATCCTCTTAATTTTTTTTTATTTTTATTTTTTTGATAATTTGACACCAATTAAAGTGTTTCTAACATGTTTTTATAAATCAAAATACAAATTTTTTTTATCTAAAATACCTATTTTGACTAAAAATAAAAAAAAATCATTGAAAACCTAGGTTAATAAATTTTAAAATTTTGAGTTTATTGGTGTCTAGATCTTGAATTGATCCAATTAAAAGCTATTTTAAACATTTGTAATCATTTCTACTATTTATTTTATCCAAAATACCCAAAAATCAAATTCTTTAAATAGCCATCCACTTAAGTACATCAAAACCATCATTTGGTGTCTTCAAAGTGCTGGAAAGAGAAATCTGAAAATGCGAGAGAGAGAAATCGAGGAGCATAATAGATGAATGCCGAAGAGAGAAATCGATAAAATTAGAGAGAGTGAGATGTTGAGAGAGAGAAATCGGAAGCACAAATGAGAAGAAATTGTGATGAATGGTTTAATTTATTTGAAATAGTTTCAAGGGTATTTTTTTTTAAATCATCGTTAAATATGGCTAAAAATTGTTAAATTTATTTTGGTTATTTTTGAAATGCTCTTATCAAGGAATGTTATTCCTCACAATTTCTTCAATAATAAGCATTTTGTAATAGGAATATGTTTACTTAGATTGATAATATATACATAGAAAAGGAAATATATGGTTAGATTTAGAATATGTTTAAGAGAAAAAATAAAATGTAAGAAGAGTTTAATGTTAGACATAATCATAGAATACATAATTATGTGAATTTATATAAGCAAAATAGGAATGAAAATGAATTAGGAAAAATTAGAAAAAAATAAGAATGTAATGGAACAAGATATGTAGATATCAAATTAGTTGAAAAAGATAGTTTTATATAAAATAGAGAAGGATACAAATGAAGAGAAAATGTAAATGGGGGTAAGATAAAGAATTATTTATATAAATAAGACAATTATTTTATTTACTACCAAGGATGGGATGCTCATTTGGAATGCGAGGAGTTGCAATTCCAAAAGGATTTTTCCTAGGCTTGGAATTTAAATTAAAACTTCACCATTACGATGGGAGGGTTTTAATTATGAAATTCCAATGTTTTTGATTTTAAATAAACAAAAATTATCATATAATAAATTAATCAATATACAAATACAAATATAATAAATATAAAAAAATAGATGACATATACTCATTTAAGTTGTCAAAAGATAAGTGTAAATTGTAAAAGCACCTGAGCATTTGGCTCATTAGTTGATACATTATCCCCGTACCTGAAGAGTAGGGTTTGAATCCTCCTTCTCCCAATTATAAAAAAAAAAGTGTAAAATTGTAAAAATAATAATACTCATGACAATAAATAAATAAATAAGTAAAATATTCAATGATAGGAAATTCATAATAATGAATGTATTTAAAGTATAAAAGTTAAATATTAGGTTATATAAAATATATATAATAAATTTATAGGTGCTATTCATCTTTTGTTGCTTATGTCTTTTAAAAAAAATTATGAAAATAAAAAAAGAATAAAAAATGATATTTCTTTCAATTATTTTTTTCTTTTTTTTCTTTTTCTTCTCTTTATTTATTTTAAAAATAACTTGCAACGATAGTCATGCTCAGCTTCTAAAGATTTTTAGAGACGTTTCGGTCTTTTTGAGGTAATGTCAATAATGATGTTTAGGTGTTATATTTAATATGTAAAAAAATTATTAAATTTTCTTTTAACAAATAATGAAGAAATATATAAAGGAAAATGTCAAAGGTTTAGTTTTAACACTATCATTGGTGATGATGTTTTTGTTCTTACTTGTGGTGATGTCTGTATGTTTTAATAATTCTCTTATCAAATTCGGTATTTATGGAAAAACATGGGTTAGGAATTCTTTTAATTTTTTTTCTAGAATTGAATCTGTTTGTTGGCGCTTTGATTTGTTTTGATGTTAGCTTTTTGTCGCTTATTAAATTTAATATATATATATATATATATTTGTTTGGCGCTATTATTAGTATTTTATGCTAGAATTGTTTAAAGTTATTTTTTTTCGTATTCATTTTAATCTCGTGCAACACCTATGCAATGCTAGTGCAATACTGATGCAATGCTAGTTTAGAGAATTGATTTTACAAAAATAATATACACCAATATTCACATTCACTATCTTTGAGTTTTATTTTTGTATTTATCTTATTTTAAGTGTTACAAATTAGAATATATATCATGACCCATCCCAAGCCTAATAGGTAAGTCCACTCAACCTGAGAAAGCTTTCAATACCAAATCATCCAAATATTTAAATTTAACATTTGGAGAAGACTTCATCTTATTTAATATGCATGTTTGTGCATTTATACTCAAAACATATATTTTCTTTGTAAATCCATATCATTTTTTCAAACACAAGAATATGTGTAAAACTATTAAAAGCCAAGAAATTCATGAATTCATATCTCAACATATGGTGCATTGACCAATGGTTAGGTATAAACATTTATCAAAATTTTAGCCAATGAAAAGTATGACTCGAATTCAGACTCAACAGAGCAGCTCAACCAAAAGTGGGTAACCTCTACGGGATGCCTTGATGTTCGCATACCAAATGCTAACTAAAAGAAGACTCATTAAGTAAGCCAACCAAAGAACTATGGATTTGAAACAAAATAGAATTTACGTGTGGTGAGATATAAAATTTTAGTGAGCAAATACAGGAAGGAGAACAAGTAAAATAGAAGAGTTTTGAGTAACATATTTAAATCAAACATTCCAATTTCCAAATCAAGTTCAAACCTGACTAAATGCATTTAAACAAGGGAATTAAACATCCTTTTACATACCTTAAATCATGCTTAAAGTACCATGCAATCATAGTATATGGATACATAAATAAAATCTTCAAACAGGGTTACACACTCATAAACATTGCATTTTCCACTATTAGGGTCAACTTCCCTTTGACAGGGATTGACCTTATGACAAAACATTATCCAAGTGTTCTGTTTTGCTAGGGTTGACTTTTTTTTGGAGGGGGTCAACCCTAACTCTTTTAGAATTTGGCCTTAAAACTTTTCAATTTCACCTCACATTCCTTGCAATCAAATTCTTTTCCAAATTAGCGCTTCTAAGGTTTCACGTCATGTGCATTAGAGTTGTTACATGCATGATGTGCAACAACTCTGGGCAATGTTTTACTGATTTTGCTACACGCCATGTTTACTACACCTCATGTATAGACAAAATTTACTACAAGCCGTGTACTAAAACATGTAATTTTTTTTTGTTTTAATATATTGTTTACAAGCATGCCATGTAACAACTCTAAGTAATATTCTAATTTACTCACAAAGTTTCAAGAATTAATGGTTGCAGCAATAAACCCAATAAGATATCTTGATGTCATCTCTACTTTAGGGTGTATATATTGACTACGATATGACCAAATGTCGAGAGATAGACCATAGCATGATGACGACGGTGCTTAATAGAGAGCTGAGAAAGTTAACAAAGCTGATACAGTTTAGAAATGTAAAAGGAGAGCTAATATAGTTCAGTTGAAAGAGTTCGAAGAACTGAAATAATTGAGTATTTAATTTCTCTATGGCAAGAGGGAGATATCGAGAAATTAATTTGTCAAAAATGTTTTTAAGGGCATTTTGGCCTACTCATGCCAAATTTGAGTAAAAACAGATAATTTTACATGAATGATTATTTCTAAAATCATCTTGTAAGGAGGATTATTTTTTACAATTTCTTCTTAATACTATACGGTGTTGTTATGTAATTATCCCAAACATACAAAAACAACCCAAACCAAGAAATTCAGAGAGCAATACGGGGCAAAAAGTTTAGGTAGGGACCCATCTATCCAATTACCTTCCACACATTCAAATCCCCAACGCCCGGAGAAAAGTTCACAAAGCCTTCCAACTAGAAAAACCAGGAAAGAAAATACAAACCAAACTGAAGAAAAGAAAAGCTACACACACGTACAGGAAAAAAAATTCCATGGCTGCTACTCTGTTGCCCAAAACTGTTTCTCCAATCCTTACAAACCCACCTTCAATTCCTTCTGGCCAATTCACCACCAAGCCACCATTTTTTAGCCCACTTGGCCTCTCTCCATGCACCAAAAGACTAAGTGTTCAAACCAATGCTAAGAAAAAGAACCCATGGCTAGACCCTTTTGATGATGGGGAGGACCCCAACATGGAGTATGGTTCGTTGTTTACTGATGGTAAGCAAGAAGAAGATCCTAGACCACCTGACAACCCGGATAACCCTTATGGGTTCTTGAAATTCCCAATGGGATTCACTGTGGAGCTGGCTTCGTTGCCTTTGAAAATAAGAGGTGATGTTAGGAGATGTTGCTGTGTGATCTCTGGTGGTGTCTATGAAAACTTGCTGTATTTTCCTGCTATTCAGTTGATCAAGGACAGGTATAAATTTGCAGAGTTTAAAATATGGATGTTGTTAGTTTGAAGGATTGTGTGATGGCAATAGTTCGTGTTATGTCTTGTTTCTGTCAGATACCCTGGTGTTCAAGTGGATGTATTGGCATCAGAAAGAGGAAAACAGACTTATGAGTTGAACAAGAATGTGAGATGGGCTAATGCTTATGATCCTGATGATGAGTGGCCTGAGCCTGCTGAATACACTGACATGGTTGGACTTCTTAAGGTTGGTGGCTTTGAGGTTTCCATGCTGTTTCTTAACTTCTGTCTTGGTTTCAAATTAAATACTTATAAGAGAGGCACTAAACAAAAGCTTAATATTGTTTCTCCATCTAAGGAAGATACAGTTAATCAGTATGGGTTCTCCACCTGATTGAGCGTGTTTGCATTTTGGTTCAAGTTTGTCTAAGGATTACCTGCTGAACATACGCGTTCATGTGTGTTCTCTAAGTTAGTTGTGATATTTTATCAAATTTTTAATCCAATCCTCCAGGGGAAAAGAAAAAGGGAAGAAAAGTGTGGGAACACATGAAAACTACAGTAAAGCTGATTTTATGCTAGTTAAAAGTTGTAGACATGTTGAATGGGGACTTCAGCTTTTTATTCTTCTAAACTTCCTCATTGGTTAGTTGGTTCCCCAAAGGATCATATTTTATATAGTATGGCATTATTGAAAGTTAATACTTGCATTTACTCCTTGCATGCTGAACAGTCTGACATAGACATAAAGGTCTTAGCATTCTAACTTATTTACTCTTGTCTTGCATATTTAGAACTTACAGGGGACTATCAATCTGGATTAGATTGTTATGCATGTTGCCCTGTTCTCGCAGAATAGGTATTATGACATGGTTTTGTCAACCAAACTGGCCGGCCTTGGCCATGCAGCATTCTTGTTTATGACAACTGCTCGTGATAGAGTCAGCTACATTTACCCAAATGTGAATGCAGCAGGAGCAGGATTGCTTCTATCAGAAACTTTTACAGCAGATAGTATGAATCTTTCAGAAGGAGGATATAACATGTGAGTTGTGCAACATAGAAATTCAAACATTTGGTCCTTGCAGCAATTTAACTAGCACAATATATCACTGAAGCACATGTGCAAACACAGACACAAACACATTTAAGAATTATGTAAGGATTTTCCTTTTCATTCTTGGTTTCAAGTGGGCTTGTATGGTATAGGTACCATCAGATGGTTGATTGGTTGGGAAGACCTTTTCGGAGTGTCCCAAGGCACTCTGTTGGCCCACTAAGAGTGTCAATTTCAAGGAAGCTGAAGGAGGTTGTAGCAGAAAAATACAGGACTGCAGGTGCAGAGAAAGGCAAATATATTGTGATTCATGGAATAGAATCAGATTCAAAGGCTTCAATGCAGTCTAGGGGTGATACTGATAGCTTGCTTCCCATTCAAGTATGGGCTGAAATCGCCAAGGATATAAGGTATGAACTCCATTTAATTCTTTTTCTAATATATTGTGACAGTTACAGACGTTTGTGGTTGTGATGATGCTAATCTGGTTACTGATAAGGGTCAGCTTATGCTGTAATTATGTATCATGCATCTCCAAATACTAATCACAGTTTTTTTACATAAATTTGATTTTTTTTTTCTATTGTGCAAACAGGGGATTTAAGCCACTTTTTGTCATTCCACATGAGAAAGAAAGAGAAAATGTGGAGGAGGTAGTAGGAGATCATGCTAGTATTGTGTTCATCACTACCCCAGGGCAGGTTTGCACCTTCTTTCATTCATTTTAGAGACTTAACTAGTTTGTGCTAATGATTCCTTGGAAAAACTCTTTGTTTGAAACTTCACGAGACTTGTAGCGTTTGCAAGCCTCTAATGGCTGATCTTGGCAGGCATCGTCTAACTTATTTGCAAAGATGCATATATTATGAACATTTAGGGCTGTGAGAGCTATTAGTTTAGTTGCATTAGTATTGTGATACATCATTTGCAACCTCATTTCACTCATTTACTATCGTTAATGTAGGAAATGTGTTTGATATGGAACAACATTATATTAATCACAAGATTTATCTTCAATATTTGCTTTCATATGGTGTGTCACAGTCCACCAACCTATAAGGTATTATCCACTTTGATCCCTTAGACTTCATAGTTTTGCTCTACTGAAAGACGTTTTGCAAGTTAAAAAGGATGTGGACACCTAAATACTCAATCGTCCTCTAGCACACAACCGATGAGGATTCACTACTGCCCTTTAGGAACCATGACAACGTGCTTGCTCAACCCATGTCGTAACAAACATCTGGTCCTCCAGCAAGAATAGTTTTTTGAAGAATCAAACAAGTGATAAATAAGAATGGCGAGTAAAAGACACTGAGATTCTAACACTGGAGCCTTCATTCTATGGTCCATTTCTGTAGCTGGCTGCTCTCATAAATGATTCAGCTGGGGTGATTGCTACAAATACAGCAGCTATCCAACTTGCAAGTGCACGTGAAAAACCAAGGTAGTTTTTATAATAATATAAGAAAACTTATTATACAGCACCACTTCTATTGGTACTTATGATTCTATTTTTGTGCAGCATCGGTCTGTTTTGCTCTGAGCAGAAGGGGAAACTGTTTGTTCCCAATGCAGAAGAGAAGAAATGTGCCATTGTCTCATCCAAGACAGGAAAGTTAAAAGATGTAGAAGTTGGGGCTGTTAAACAAGCCATGCAAATATTTGATATGTCCTTTGCTCTAGTATAGGGGATTTTGATCACTGATTCTTCAGATCTTCTTGTTCCTTATTTTCCATTTCATTTCTGTTTATATTCCATTTTGCATATTGCAAGAGAATTAATAAATTACATACATCTTGAAGGTGGGGCATACATTGTCTTTCTTCCTAACTTCAAAAAAACTTTGAAGTATAATGCAATCTGCTTAAGGCAGCCTATACAGGAATTTTACCTAGGAACAGATAATACTACCATATAAAGGTATAAGGTGAGGCCAAAATTCCATATTTCAATTGCAAGAATGACTCTGAAGTAGGTCCTAGTAGACTTGAGGTCAAATTACAGTCTGGCTCATGCTCTCAAACTAGGCACAGGAACTGCACCTGATAATTATAGTATCCGAATCCCTTCAATCAGCAGGCATTATTTGGAGAGGGCCACTAGCACCTTCAGCCTCAAACATCTTGATAAACATGGTTCATTTTGGCTTACGGAAATAATTGTCATCCAAATGGTGAGACAGCTTATTTCACAATCAAGACCTCAAAGTGGCAACTTACTTTCAGCAAAACAAACAAAAGAAAAATGAAAAGGTGGTAACTTATTTACATTACTAGGTAGTAGATGAACATCAAAAGGTATTCAGCACAGAGGCATATAGAAATCAAACAACTTTTCCACCATCCATGGCATTTAATTGAAACTGCTCTTCAAAAGGAGGAGCTTTATAATGCAACAAATTTAAATGGAGCAGAAGGTGCTGAAATTATAGACCTAATACAATAACAAAAATGAAAAAAATAAAGAGTATCTTTAGCCAATTGTTACCATGGCAAGTTCTTCAAAAATCACTAACTAGTCAAGTGCAACCTCCAGCTATCAGGAGAGAGGCTTTGCACGTGTTGCTGGATTTTCTGTTGATTCAATGTGCATCATAAATAGATAACCCAGTGACCAGAGGAGAATATATTGGAAGGGTACCCAAGATAGACATGCAACAAGACTCATGATGCTGCCAACATACTGTGGATCTCTAATGAACCCAAATGGGAATTCTGTTACCCAGGGAATATTCTTTCCAAAGCGTACACCATAATAAGTGCCAGATTCACCAAGCAACTGATACACCCTGTAAAATTACATTTTGGTAAACTGCCAGAGGTAGATCTAGACTAGAAGCAATATAGCATCATATCAATTCAATTGAGGCTAACAACCTAAATGCACAACACAAAGCAGCTGATACACACCATAAATGACATTTCAGAACAGCACAGTAAGAAAGTGATATAAAGTAGTAGCACCTTATCATCCAAGTCAACAGGACAACCTAACCCACAAGAGCAAGATTAAATAGAAGACAACAAATAATTTGTTACATGGAGAGCAATAGAGAAATAGTTTGCAGAATGGTTTTGGTCCTACAACTTTTGTGTGCAGAATGAGAGAAAATTAGTAAATTTCTAAACAAATACCTAGTGTTTCCCAAGTAGACCAAATTAGAATTTTTCTGGATTCCATTTTCTAGAATAAGCCATCAGAATCTTTGGAGACTCCATATGTACTCAGCACTCTGATAACAATTGTAATAATTTGATATCACAATCATCAATGTCTGGTTACAAGCTAAACCTGACAGTCCAGAGGTAAAGGGAAACAGGACAAAACTTGGACGAAGAACTACTACAACCAGTTTTGCTTTTATGATAAACATAAAAAATAAGGGCTAATACTATATAAGCCCTTGAACTATCCCAAAATTCTAAAAAAAAAAACAAAAGAAAACCACTCTTATCCTTTTATTGTACCCAAATAAACCCCTATTATATGATTTTTACCTAGATAAGCCCTTAAAAGATGTCATGTGACAACATGTGACCTTGGCAGTCATTAAGCTTAATGGTTAGCTGGCATCTTTCGCACACATGACAAACTTGGCTTTTCTAACGTGAAGAAATTGGCTGATCAAAATGACAATATCTTAGGAGGGAATATTTCCCATTCAGCCAATTTTGGCATGTAACAAAAGCCACGCCAGCATCCTAGTGCAAAGGAGACTAGCTGGCCATAAGCCTAATAGCTGTTAAGTTCACATGATAAAAGTGACATATTTGTGTCAACATAAGGGCTTATTTGGGTTCAAATCATAAGATAGGAGCTTATTTGGCACAATACAAATATATGGACTTATTTAAGGAAAGTAGCAAATCGTGGGGTCTTTCAACATCATATAACCCATGCTCTAGGCATAGCATATTGCAAACAATCCCCACCCAACAAGTCAATTAACTGTCACTACATCTTAATTCCCATGTCTAAGATATCATCATGGGAGGTAAAGCAAACCACCACAATAATAGACAATAAAAACTAACGAGGCAAACAAGTATTATAGGTGATGCCTCCACTTCTGCAGTGATAGTTAAATAATATCTTTCCCGAATTTCATGATAGAACTCTGGATGATTAAATAGTCGGTTCAAGAATATTATGCACATGCCCAATCATTTACCACAACAAAGGAAAGCACAGTCTTAATCCTTTAGGAAAAGATCAGATGAGTAAAAGCTCATTGCAAAGTGTTTTGAACCCCCAACAAGTCCCAAAACAGCACCTATGAGATGAAGACTTTCCACCCATGAAAACCTTCATTGGAAACACTAAAATGAGGAAATTTTTGGACCACCGACTACACTTATATTAAAGCAACTTCACCTCCAGGGTCTACAGTGTCACTTCTCAATTGTCTCTTTGTTCCCTCAAATAGGAATACTTGTTATTTCAAACTCAAGACCTCACTCACTGCATTCCCCAAAGGAGAGACCATTTAGCCACCATACCAGCTGCTTTCCTCCACTTATATTGGTTCCTCATTTTCCAAATCCTTTATTTATCTAATGATATAACTAAAGGGGTTAACCAAAATAGCTCATATACTGATGGATATACAGGCATATGAACTTGTTATTCTTAATCAAAAACTGACTCATGGAAGAACCCCAATAATCAAACTGTATTTTCTTACATATTTGGGATGATTTCACACGCACCCAAGACAATATATCCAGCAAGTTAGTAACTAGCTGCTTTAAAAAAATGAAGCCCGATTACATCTATACTAAGGTGCTAATGACATATTAGCTTGTTATGTTATACAGACAGAAATTCCAAACAAATACCAGGAAAAAAACAAAGAAGAAAGTATAGAAATATAGGGTGACTAACCTGAAGTTGAGGAACTGACCAAAGGCAAAGAGGGGCCAAAAGTGAAGAGGGGGAGGCCAAGAGAGGGAACAAACTGAAAAGAGAGAAATGAACTGCACCAGCTTGAAGAAATGGGAGAAAAGGGCCATCACCTTAGATGGGTCCCTTCCTTTCCCACAAAGGTTCACCCATGACAGAGGATACGTCCATAGCAAGTAGTAAAATGGGAATGGCACCAATATCCCTATGCCTGCCAACAGCCCCATTTGCTGTTCTAGTTTTTTTCCGCTCTACTTCCTAAGGGGAAGTTCAGAGTTGTGACTCGCCAAGGATAGAGTCAAAGAAATCAGGAATGTATGGGAATCTGATTCTTGAATGGGCCACCATTGTTATGTATGTTATTTGGGTTAAGGTTTGGTAACAAAAATGGGTCTTTTCGGCCTGTTTATGGCCTCATGAGGTGCCACCACCTCAAGTCTCATGGTCTATTCTTTCTCTTCAATCTTTGCTTAAACAAAATTGTCAAATCTGTAAATCAAGTTATTAACCTCTTGTCTTACAACTACAAGAGTAATGTATTTTGAACCAAGAATAAGGTTGAGACTGGAACATAGCGCCCGCAAAAAAGTTGCAGATGGGTTTCAACTTTCAAATCTTCAGTGAGGAAGATACTTCGAGTCGCCATGGTTCACCTTTAAACTGGAACTTCAAATTTACTCTATGGGCTTCGGGCTTGCTCTTGTGGGGGAGGGAAGCTGGCTACATCTAATGGGCTATGAGCATGTCCTTCGCAAGTTTCTAGTCATAAAAGCGTTCTCTAATCTCCATCCCTTAAACTCTCTCAAAAATTAAATTTGAAATTCATTATTAAATTCTTGATAAAATTATACCAAGATTTTATCATTTAAGTTAATAATTTATATACATATATTTAAATCTTAATTATCAATACTTTCTGATTGCTACAATGGACAATCCAACACTTTCTTTAAGTAAATACAAAAAATAATTGTGTATGAAATTTGATTTATTTAACAGCTATATTACTGTGTCTACTCTAACAGTGGACACAATATAAAATAATAAATGTAAAACAAAAGTCATAATACTTGAAAAAGTCTCTAAATTAGTTAAGAAAATTTAAATAAGTTCCTATTCTTCTATTGTATTTAATCAAATTATGTATCTTTATTTTGAGTTAAATAAACCTTTATGACTAATTGTCATTAGTGAAAACATTAATTGTCGTTTTATATCCTCGTGACACTAACATGAAGTTGATGTGGAGGGTGAAAAATATCACATGACTAGGTCATCATGCCACATCAACATACCATGTCAGCATGTCACGTGGTTTAGAATAACAAAATGATATTTTGACTAATAACAATTAGTCAATTGTTAGTCATAAGGACTTGTTCGACTCAATAAAAATATATATTTTTTATAATTAGGGAAGGAGGGATTCGAACCCTTCTCTTTAGTCAAAGGGATAATGCACCAACCAATGAGCCAAATGTTCGAGTGCAAAATAAAAAAAATAAAAGTATAAAAGAAAAAATAAAATAAAAAAATAAAAAATAAATAAAAATAAATAAAAATAAAAGTATACTTGATTAAACATACTATGTTAGATAAATAAGCTTAAAGTAAGGTAACCGTGAATGGAGATTAATTGGTTTTCAAGTAAAAATCCCAATTTTTAACACTTAGGACAAT